GTCCCAGTAGCCATCATTTGTGTGGTACTTGACTCACAAGCTAGAACTTGTCGATGTCAGCTGCCTTGTGACACACTACATTATTCCTTATGGGGAAATGTTGTTTGGTACTCATTGTTTTTGGCCTCATTGTACCTCCTGGAATCAATTACCAATCAGTACCGAGGTACGACAGCATATCCTTTGGCACAGAAATCCATATTTGATATTATTCCAAACATTATTTCTCAAGAAGCTAAATTGTAAGGAAAATTGTAAACTTTTTTAGTGATGGTTAGATAAACTGAAAAATTGTTATCAGTATATTATTTAGGGAGACTACCTTGGTCATTTTCATTAGAAATTAACTATATATATCAAAGCCCCTCTATGATAGGAATTTTAGAATGAAATATGATTAAAAAAAGTTAAAATCAACAATGTAAAAGAAAACACATTAATAAAACAAAAAACATTAAGAATTTAATTAAAATATTTTGTTTATAAGAAAGAATTATGTGGCCTTTCTATGAATCTTAGTGGTCTCCAAGAAATGGACACAAAGCTATTGATCAAAAAAAGGGCAACACTAATTAGAATATGGATTTCTTTTTTTAATATGATCAGTGAAGATCCTTATCTTCAACCACAAATCTTTGGATCCATCAGTAATATTATGTCTCATCCTCCACCCCAATTTTGAGAGACACCATCTTTAAATATGCTTTTTTTTTTTTTGCGTGTTCATTTTCCGATGCTTCGTGATCCCTTCTTTCTGATTTTCTTAGTACTTCTAATTTCATTTTCTTTACCCATGTAAACTCTTCAGATGAATTAATGTACTGTACTCACCTGCAATAATCTAATATCATATGTTGGATCAGACTTGGCCTCCTTACTAATCCAGGCATTGAATAGTCTTTTACTGTTATATTAAAATTTCTTCTCCTGTGAAAAGATATCTGAAATATCTTAGTAAGTAGCTCTGGCTACAAATCTACAGTGAGATTTGCATTATCTCACTACAGAGATCCAAACTGAATTGATCATCCATGTTGCTGTAGCATAATTTCTGTCACTTAGAGAAAGTTAACTGGCATTTTACCAGTTGTTCCTTCAACCTTTGTACAAGAATCTTTGACATCTGTGCTAAGGCCTTTGGCAGACTTTTCTAACTCCCAAAGAATGTCTCCAGTTTATTCAACCAGCAGTCGGTAGGGTTTCTTCTGAGTTATCACATAGCTTTGATCTTAATTTTATGTCACTTGTTTCCTCAGCTTTTTATGTGGTAATAATCACACATGTTCACATATAATATGGAGAAGTGCCTGTAAACTATTCATTGCTCAGCAGTGATATATCTGGTGATAATGTGCTTGCAGTTCTCACTGTGCGGTACTTTGCAACACCCGGAGTTTAATTGAAAATACACTCTGACCTTGGTTTTCTTCACTGGGCACAGAAAGGACATAATTGCTGTGAAGCTACTGAGAGACATTATTCCAAAATGTCATATTGCTAATTTTAGCAGTAGAAGTTCCTCCTACTAAAAGAAAAATCCCAAAATCCAAATATAAATATGCAATGTGTCACTGTTCTGTATTAATAAAACAAGTATTTTTTTTAAAGAAAAAATCATCTTATTTCTCTGAACCACTTTGTTATTTTCAAAATGCCATGGGACTGTACTCATTTGATTTCTTCTAGTAATCTATTCCTCATTTATTATTACATAAACAGCTTGTACACTGCAGACCACAAAAATATGTGTACTCCATTTTACCTTCAAAAGGTTTCCATAGCTACAAAGGACAAGATTATAATTAACAGTTGCTGGACAGAGGATTCTTAACAGCATTTTCACTTTCATAGATAATTGTGATTTTCCTCCCAAATATATTCTGTCGGATAAACTGTGATTTTGACGGATTTTCTATATGTCTATAAACATTATATTTCTATAAACACTGCTCTCTGAATATGTAGACGGTTTCTATTACTGGAGGTTTTCTTTAGAATTCCATGGTTAGTTTTCTTATTTTGTTTTATTTCCTCCATGTATATTCCTTCCGGTGAATGGTTCGGCATCTAAAATAGTAGAAAGACTTCAGAAGATCAATGCCCTTTCAAGAACTACTGAAATGAGGATTAGATAGGCCAAGGATCAACCATCCATTAGTATAATGAAACAGCTGCTTTGTAACTCTCCCTAATCAGTAGAGATTACAAGTTTACAAGACCTGATTTAAAATGTCTTGCAATGAGGTGGAAAAGTAAGTTATTTTCCAAAGGTCAAAGTAAGTGATACCGGTTAGTTTTGTTGATGACAGTGTTTACTCAATTTCTCAGTAGGAGTAAAATCTAAGCAACGTATCTGATATTCCCATATAAATTCATACGTTAATTATTTTTTTCTAAATGGATTGCTATGTGAACAGTAATATATTTTACCCTATTTTTCAAAGTACAAGATTTCTCCCACTGATATAAAATTAAACTGCTTGAAGCTTTAAAGGAAAGCCTTTAGCAGATAGTATTTTTGTTCTACTAAACATGTGTATTGTATATCTGTACACTCTGGGTAAGTAATGTCCTTAGAGTTGATGTAATTTATAAGACTTCACTTTGGGCTGATTTATAGGAAATTTCATTAATCTCTACAGCACAGGGACCTTGCAGTGAGCAATAGATTCAAAATGAATCCAGAGCTGGATTTAGGTACAATCACAAATGAATCAGCACTCAGAGACTTTGAAGAGTAATAATAATTTGCAAAGTTGAAAAGTGAAATAACTGAAAGAAGCAATTTTGGAAGGTAACTCTGAAATTGCCAACCCTTTGTTTTTGCATTTGGGACACATTAGTAATGACAGTTTCTGTCCTCCAGTGGTCAAAATATGAGGGTTGGGGACAATGTGTATGAAGAAATAAAATCATTTGAAGCTTTTTTTATATATGTTTCCTGAAGTAAGCAAACAATAAGTATTCTGTCAGCAGATGTATTCAAGAAATAAAAGCTTTTGGACATCCCTTGGCATAAATAATTAAAGACATTTTCCTCCTTGGAGGAAAGATTTGCAAATCTAATATGATTCATAGAAGATTTTTTTTCTCCTAAAACAATGTGTTTTGGGTAACTTAACCCACCTCTCAAAACTTCTGAAGAGTACCAGCATGGGGGGAAGTATGATATACTAAGTCAGTGGTGGCGAACCTATGGCACGGGTGCCAGAGGCAGCACTCAGAGCCCTCTGTGGGCACGCGCACCGTCACCCCAGTCCTAGGCCTTCAGCTGGGTTTTATAAAACCTTTTTGCTTTAGGTCTTTGCCGCCGTGTGCAAAAAAAAAAAAAAGGTTCAATCAGTCAATTTCAACTTCTCGCGGGAAAAAAAAATCTTGCAAAGTTGGAATTGATTGATTGAACTTTTTAGTCCCACCCAGTCTGCCGTTACCACCGCAGCCACCCCCACCCAATTGGCCATGCCCACACAAAGGGCCACACCCAGCCAATGGGCCACACCCAGCCGGCACTCGACGATGCATAAGTGGGTTTTGGGTTGCAGTTTGGGCACTCAGTCTCTAAAAGGTTCGCAATCACTGTACTAAGTACTTAAATTACATATAAAAGTGGAATGTATATTAAAAGAATGCAGAATGAAGACTGCATTTAAATCTGCTTTTTTATTTTTTTACTTTTGGTCATTTTGTGGCTTAATGAACTAGAGTTAAAAACATCACAGCACATTTAAGAAACATATATACAATCAATCTCTTAATCTCTTTATGTATGGTTTTGCCTATCTGTAATTGCTAAAAAGATTTCAAACCTAAGCATGCATGGTAAGGGTTTTACATTTGTGTGCTTTAGGGCTATGTTTTGTTACTTTTGCATGTGTAAAATGGCAGACAGGCTTTGGCATACACTTGAACATGCATAAAAAGTACACTTGTCAAGGTCTTATTAGACTGATTCATCATTTCTGAATGTTAAGCCGGTATGGAACCTCTGCAATAAGGATATTATAAGCTATTTGTTCATATTTTTTCATTTATCTTGCATCCAAATGTTTAAACAAAGAAAAACTGGTCAGATATTTTACTTTTGGTGGGCATGGACAACTTGTATGCTAGACTGCTTTATTTGAAATTCTTGCTAAACCCTAGATGAAAAATATAAATCTCATTTTGACAATTCAGTCATCATTTTATCCTTATCCAAAGGTTAATGTTATGGATCTCCATCTTCAGTTTTAGAAGTTCTGCTAAGAATGGATGTTAGTTTCCAACTAACCTGTACATCCAATAATTAAAAATCTCTGAAAATAAATTCCAGATAAAGGTTCTGAATGTTCTTCTTTAAGTAATGTGATTACAGTAGTGAATTATCCAGTAATATAGTTGTCTTTAAGTTAATTATAAATGTTTTAATAGCCTTTTAAATGGTGTTATAATTAGACTTAGATTTATTGAAATGAATAATTTAATTCTGATAATTTAGCTTAATTTTTAGATTGATTTTATAAGTGGATAATTCAGTTTTTGGCTGGTACCTTCAGATGTGTTGGACTCTTTTTCTTAATTCCCAGCCAACATAATAGTGGTTGAGAATTGGATCAGCAAAAGTTCAGTATATCTGGAATGTCTGCTGAAAACAGTGAGTTGGCTTAAAGTAATGTTCATAGTTCTGTAATCTTGGCCAAAACAGTAGTTTCAGTAGGCATTTTCTCTAATTGTTAGAATTAAATTTAATTTTACACTTTATTTTCTTTTACAAGATATTTTTTTGCACGCAAAAGAAAAACCTCTAATGACCAAAGGGTAATTTTAATTGTTAACTTATATTAATAGTTAATCCCTGAGAAGTTTGTTTCTAGGTAGTCGTATATACTGCTTATGTGTAAACATATTTTTAAACTAATGTGTGAATACACAATTATAAATATGAAATAAAAATGCAATATTTGATACTAATATTGCTGTTTTCTTTTTTCTTTAGACTATTGGAACTCCTGAAGGACCAACTCCAAATAAATTATGAATGTTGAACAAGATGAGCTTACATCCACAGCAGATAATGATAGGTCCTAGGTTTAACAGGGCCCTATTTGACCCGTTGCTTGTGGTGCTACTGGCTCTTCAACTTCTCGTGGTTGCTGGTTTGGTCAGAGCTCAGACTTGCCCTTCTGTCTGTTCCTGTAGCAATCAATTTAGCAAAGTATTTTGTGTGAGAAAGAATCTGAGAGAGGTCCCTGATGCTATATCTACTAACACTCGGTTATTGAATCTCCATGAGAACCAAATTCAAATAATCAAAGTGAATAGCTTCAAACACCTGAGGCATCTAGAAGTCTTGCAACTGAGCAGGAATCACATTAGAACAATTGAAATTGGGGCCTTCAATGGTCTGGCTAATCTCAATACTCTGGAACTCTTTGACAATCGTCTTAGTACTATTCCTAATGGGGCATTTGTGTACTTGTCAAAATTGAAGGAACTTTGGTTGCGAAACAACCCCATTGAAAGTATACCTTCTTATGCTTTTAATAGAATCCCTTCCCTGAGGAGGTTAGATCTGGGGGAATTAAAAAGGCTTTCATATATCTCTGAAGGTGCCTTTGAAGGTCTATCTAATTTGAGGTATTTGAACCTTGCTATGTGTAACCTTCGGGAAATTCCTAACCTCACACCCCTTGTAAAACTGGATGAGTTAGATCTTTCTGGGAACCACTTAACTGTTATCAAGCCAGGGTCTTTTCAAGGATTAATGCATCTGCAGAAATTGTGGCTGATCCAATCCCAGATTCAGGTGATTGAAAGGAATGCCTTTGATAACCTTCAGTCACTGGTAGAGATCAATCTGGCCCACAACAATCTAACACTACTGCCTCATGACCTCTTCACACCTCTCCGTCTGGAAAGAATCCACCTGCATCATAACCCTTGGAACTGCAACTGTGACATTCTATGGCTCAGCTGGTGGATTAAAGATAAAGCACCCTCCAACACTGCATGCTGTGCCCGTTGCAACACACCTCCCAGCTTGAAGGGAAGATACATTGGCGAGTTGGATCTAAACTACTTCACATGCTACGCTCCTGTGATTGTGGAGCCACCAACAGACCTCAATGTCACTGAAGGCATGGCTGCTGAGCTTAAATGCCGAGCATCAACATCCCTGACCTCTATATCTTGGATTACTCCAAATGGATCTGTTATAACACACGGGGCTTATAGGGTTCGGATTTCTGTGCTCAGTGATGGCACGTTAAATTTTACAAGGGTGACCGCACAAGACACAGGCTTGTATACATGCTTGGTGAGTAACTCTGTGGGGAATACAACAGCTTCTGCAACTCTTAATGTAACTGCACAGGAGTGTATTACTTATTTTTCAACCATCACAGTAGAAACTGTGGAACCTTCTCAGGATGAGGCACGGACCACAGAACAGGTTTGGCCCACACCAGTTATTGATTGGGACACCACTAATGCGACAACCTCTCTCACACCACAGAGCACAAGGTCAATGGAAAAAGCATTCACAATTCCTGTGACAGATTTAATCAATGGGATCCCAGGAATAGATGAGGTTATGAAGACTACCAAAATCATAATTGGTTGTTTTGTGGCTATCACTCTTATGGCTGCTGTGATGTTGGTCATTTTTTACAAAATGAGAAAACAACATCACCGGCAAAATCATCATGCTCCAACACGGACTGTAGAAATCATTAATGTGGATGATGAACTTACAGGTGATACACCTATAGAAAGTCATTTGCCCATGCCAACAATAGAGCATGAGCACTTAAACCACTATAACTCTTATAAATCTCCTTTCAACCACACAACAACAGTTAACACAATAAATTCCATACACAGTTCAGTGCATGAACCATTATTGATCCGAATGAACTCTAAAGACAATGTACAAGAGACTCAGATCTAAACCATTTACAGATTTAAGGGGGAATTTAAAACAAAAAAAGACAGTTTATTAAAAAAAAATGACACAGATGACTGGGCTAAATCTACTGTTTCAAAAAAAGTGTCTTTACAAAAAAAGAAATTTATTTATTAAAAAGTCTATTGTGAGCGAAAGCAGACAAAATTATGTGTATTCCTCAGAACCTCTTTTTGCTGCATTTATTTACCCTACTCTACTGATTTCCCTTTCCTTCTTTCCCATACCTTCCCTTCTATTCCATTTGCCATATTTTTCATAGAACAACTTGATTCTCTAAAGAACTGGTCTAGGAATTTTTGTAAGAATTCTGTTAATGCTTTGGGAATTTTTATGGTGAATTCTAGTGGTGAGATTCGGTCTATTTTGTCTTTTTTTATTTCATTTTCTTCTCATTCCCTTTTTGAAATGGTTCAGAGGGGAAATGGATGTTAGCAGTAGATTTACGAGAACAATCAAGGAACAGAAACAAACAAAACAAAATATTTTATTTTTCTTTTATTTTTTCACATTTCTGTATTTCCTGAAGGAACAATTCTGTGAAAGGGGGAAAAAAATCCAAGAAATTAATTTTCATGTGAGCATCTATAAAACCCATGATCTTTTAAACAACTCTAGAACCAGGATTTGTAGTTCAAACACTAAAATAAGATTATAAATAAAATATTGTTGGTTTTTTTTCTGTACTCATTTTTAGTGTGATGTTAAAATGTCAAAAGGTCGTTCCATATTTTACATTTTTTTCATTCATCATTCCATGGCTTTCCTTCAAAAACATTCAAAATAATGGTAACAAAAATACTATAACAACATTTTGAATTTTAACTGAAAGTAATAATACACTTTTTTTACTTAATAACCAGCATACCAAGCCTAAAAGTTAATAATCACAGACAATAATTCAGGAAATTTACTGGGGTTAAATAAATGAAATGAATTGTTTGATGAAATGAATGAAATTTATCTTCACATTTGATCAGAATTTTTCATTAGAAAAGTCATTTTATTCGTGGAATGCTCTAAAAATTCTTCCTCAGAATTTTGGTTGAGCAATTTGTTCTTGGGTAGACACCAAAGGATTTGCTTATCTTGTTAACAAAAATATGTGTGTGGGAGCATCCATTTTATATTTAAAGGTAAGAAGGAAGAACAAAGAAAGAGAAAGAAAGAAAGAAAGAAAGAAAGAAAGAAAGAAAGAAAGAAAGAAAGAAAGAAAGAAAGAAAGAAAGAAAGAAAAAATTGAAATGGCATTTTCTATCCAAAGTTCTAAAACCACTGGTCCAAATAATTTGATCCAGCACTAATCTTAACCATGTGTTGGAATGTGGCCTTAATTTGTAAATAAAGGTTATAATTAACCACAAGTATTATTCATCTACTTTTTCTGGCTTTGTTGGTGTCTTCTATAGCAAGTGAAGGACATCAGCGAAGGGTTCAGATTTCACAAGGCTTGTTTGAGAATATATTATTTACCTATAGTTCTAGCCAAAAATTTTGTTAGTGTTCATATGAAATGAAGCTTTTATTTTGATTGCATGAAAACGAAGCTGCAAATATGGATGCTGTTTGCTATTTAGCTCAATTGAAATATGGTCGAGCAAGATAAGCCAGCAAATAAAATTGTGACACTGAAAACATCCAAGAACAGTATTCAACAACAGGAATTAATGTGGGGGGAAACAGATTCCCTTAATTCTTTTTCTTTTTATCTGATGTAGACCAATGATAAGTATCAGAAATTCAATTGAAAAGTAAACCTCAATAGGATTTTTCAGTGATGAACCGAATTCCTTAATTAAAACAATATGAAGTGTGGTTCAGAAGATCCATTGGAATTGTTCTAGCCAGAAGATCCATTCAAGATCATGCCTTTCCATGCCATTTATGAAGCAGTTATTATTTTTCAGAGTTATGCAGAAACAAAATCAAAACCCAAGCCACTACAATCCAAATCTCTGAACTCACCAAGGGTTGTCTTAACTCATCAAGGTTCATCCCAACATTTCTTGTAGATTAGACCTCAGCCTGGGCAGAAAATTGGCAACTCATTAAACCCTTGAAAAGCTGATCTCTGTTTTTCTTTCTCCCTTTGACAAAAATGTTTGAAGGAGGAGAAAAATATGGATATCCATATAACTAATAATAATTAAACTTGTGTTGATAATTAACATAAATATGTTTTTAAAAGCTAATCATGGGTTTTTTTTAAAAAAATGTTCAAATGTTGGGCTTTATGGCTCTTCTCATTTGAAAATTGTTGTTGCGGCTGAGTTATAGTACAATAATTTCTCCTCTACAATATCCTTAAATAACGCATCTGACTTGGGTAATGGAAAACAAGAGTATATATTAAAGTTCCTTATAATAACTGTAAATCTCATATCATACAATAATTTGTTCTTCGGCAAAGTTTGGAAACTTACTTGTGAACTTTTCAAATCTTGAACCAAATAAGATGAACCTTTAAAATGCTGAATGTACCTGAAGCATTTATTGTTTTCCTCCCTATTGCACCCCTAAGAACTTCCTCTACAAGTCATCAAATTTGCCAACACTTTTTTCCTTAAATTTATTGTTTCAGGCAAGAAGACCATGAAATAAAAGAAGTTTTTTCCTGCTGTCTCTCCCCCCCCCCTCCCACGACACCAGTATCTTATGTTCTGTTCAGTATACATTGGCCTATTGCAAATTTCCCTATATTCTTAGTGAAATTCCATCTCCCTTACATCTCCAGGAAAAATTGTTCTTAAATATTGATTGTGTTCTTCTTTTTGATATCTTTGTGGCCAATTTATGGCATGGAAAATAGTGGTTAAGGTATTGGAATGGAACTGGGAGAAAGCAATTCAAATCTGCATTCAGCCACAAAAGCTCTCTGAATGACTTTGAGCCAGTCACTCTCTCTAAGCCCAGTCAACCTCACCTGCTTTTTTGCTGTGAGAACTATGAATGTCACTTTGCACTTCTAAACAAAAGACAGGATAAAAATCAATCAAATCAATTCAACTGGTTTCAAAATAGAATAACTTATTTAGAAAGTAAGCAGCCACAAGCCAGGCAGACAAAGAAGCGCACTGACAAGGGTAGTGATTTTGTTTTTCTTTATTCTTGTATTTGAATATGGTCAATAGAATCAAACTAGACACAAGCAAAAAACAAAAAGATCCTAAGAAACTTCAGTTCTGCAAAGGAATCCAGATCACTTTAGTTTCAACATGGATCCTTTTGTTGGATTTTCCAAAAATGAACCTTAATGTCTGTATCCTAAATTAACTGTTCAATTCGGCTTAATAATATAGCTTTGTGACTTGCTCCAAAAACTTAATTTGCACCGTATCAAGGACTGTTTTGCATCCAACAATTCCAGCATGGTTCATCCATTTGCATCTACACAACCCAATAGGTCAATCATAAGCCTAATATTATCAGATACTTGATGTCCTTTAATGAAACTGAATTGTCTCAAGTGGCTTATTGAATGTAATGCTTTTGGCAACTATGTGACAGATGTACAGTAGCTGTTAAAAGATTGGTATCAACCTTGGAGAATAACAATTCACACAATTGCTGGGATCCTTTCTTGATTTATTGTAATGTATCCTCATAGTTTTCTTAAGCTAAGGCCTTATTTTTGAAAGATTTCTTGTGAACCTCTAGCTAGCAGAATGAGAGGCATGCTTTCCTTATATTCTTATGCCATTGAGGAAATTCCATCTGTCCTGGGGATTGCTGAGAGGGGGAGCGGGGGCTTTCCAGATTTTTTTGTTACAATGGTGTCAAATATTAGTTCAAGGTGCAGCTAACTCTTTTGAGAGAACAAGATCTCTGGAAGATTTTGTTCTGTCTGAAAAATCATTTTTCTCAATGAGCATGCTTTCATTTCTGGAATATAGAGTTTTATTATACTTCAGAAACAGAAAGCTAATTTTGTTGTTGTCTCTGTGAATTATTCCTCCAAAATCTCTTTATTGTGGATAATCATACTTCGATTCAATTGTTTCAGATAAGAAGCTAATATTTTATCAGATTTTTTTCCTTGTTCCCAATAGAACTATTTAATATACTTCAATACGTATTTAGTATTTAAGAGACCTAATTGATCAAGTTCTAATTTAATCAATCTAACGGGGATGTGCTTCCAAAGTATGCTTTCTACAGTGCATATTCAGTGTTTTATGTCTGTTTCCAGAATTTTACAATATGAGACTTATTTTTATCTTTCAAGAGGCATAATTTATTGTCTTATGCTGTACAAATGCTTTAAAAATTGGCATTACACCATTCTATCCACCTATCCTAATGATAATGGACTTGTAGTCAAATATTTTACTGGAAAGACCAAATACATTAATCTTTTTAATCTTTTGTTTATCTTCCAACCAACCAATTATTTATTGATTCTTTGCCTAGTATGTGGAGAAAATCCATTGGAAATCCAGCTGAAAGTATAGGAACAAAGTTCAGGAATATAATTTCTATCTTCAACTGCAAGACTATATGTTTTCTTAAAATTTCAGTTGAACTACATCTTAATCCCTTCAAGAAAGTAAATCAAAAATCGTTTCAAGGAATTTCAAAGTTGGGTTTGTTCCACTGCAATGAAAGCAATATATTCAGTTGCTGGAAGTCAACATCTACAAATAACAACATTCAAAATGTGGCCTTGTTATTTACAATAAATTTTCTGTCTTCATTGATTTTCAGTATTATGATTCTCATCATCACAGAAGTAGGTTTTTATGTAAAAGGTGAATGTGAGAAAGCCTTATGTTTAGAAATATGAATCTAACATTCCTTTTGTTGAAATCAAGTGAAGAATGATTGGATCTATGCCGAGACAACACATAAGGAGAAAATATAAACAATACAGTATAAGCTTGATTGAATCCCCAGGTAACTCAATATATTTCAGTAAGCAGTAAATTGTTGCAACCAAATCTAGTAATCCAAATAATAATGATGATTTCAATGTCCGATCTAAAGTTGATTTCAGATTGT